TGTCCCTGATGACTCCCTCCACGTTCTGCATGAAGTAGGGTTCCGTATCTGAAAGAGGAGCCGCACAAAAAATGAGAGAAAAAGACACGAGATAATTTCGCGATATTGGGGGACCAGGCGGCAAGTTCCGAAGGACTTCCTTCCATGCTCAGGCCTCACCAAGCTTTTATTGATTCTGGGATGCACCCATAGCATAGCCCTTAGGCAGGTGACCCCTGGCAACAGGCAGACTAGCCCATCAGCAAGGATTTACATAATAATAAATGGGGGAGTAGTTTCAGCTACCACTGTCTGGACAAACAGAGGTGGCGCCTAGCTGACCTCTGCTAGGGCTTCAAAGGCACCCAGCCTTCGGGGTGTTCTCGGTCTATGCTTATCAGATAGTGAAGGCAATAAACAGTTTCCCACAATGTTCGGTTCAGATTGGATTAAGGCGACATCCTAATCCTCCTTCCTTCCTGAAGCAGGTTTTTCTGTCTGAGTCTCTTGGGCAGGAGAGGGGGAAGGGACAGAGGTTCTTTCTTGAGTCCTGTTCCTTAATAACCAGCTTAGAACCTATGTCCCTAAGAAGGCAGCTTCAGTGTGACAAAACTGTGGTTTCCTTCACTATACTATGCTTTTACTCTTTATGTTAGAATGTACTCTTTCTCGTAAAAGGTAATGTATGTTGTGTTACACTGGCAGCAGCCTCATACATCTCGTGTTGACTATGTCTCTTGATTGAATCATTTTCCTTCAAAGTACAGTTAATGATAGAAAACTGGAGTCTTATAAATATCTCAGACCTATTAGGTGGCTCTCAGATGCTACAACTTTTTAATAATCTATTTAAGAATCTTGTCAGACAGCAAAAAGAGTTTGTGAGCACTTGGAAGCTCAAACCAGCAGAGCCTCAGGTCACTGAACATAATCTCTTCCTATCCTAGTCAGCACAGGTAAATGTACGCTGGATGAGGTCTAAGTAGATAGATTTATATCCATTCAAGTTACCAAACCTAGAATGTTAGTTCATGAGTTGATGTCAGCCTGAATGAAGAGAGGTCTTTAGAGATAGACTACAGATCTCTGGTCTTGCTCTTTTTCTGGTTAGCACTTTTTTATTACCAAATTTGAATGTATGAGGCATGCTTCTCAAATTAATACATGTACTCAAAACCTGTAGTTAACATGTTAAATGACACAGCAAGTTTTTAAAGGCTAAAATAATAGGCCCAAACTCACAAGATATAGATTTACCAGGAATGATTAAATGTACAGAAACCCAGTTGTCCATGTTGGAGATGAAGAAGGCCTACCTTGACAAAAATGGTTCTAGGGCATAATGTTATATTTATAGAGGATGTTAGTGTCCATTTGAGGAAAGGCAGTATCTTAACCTAATGATAAACTGTGGCTCTGCCATTTGCTAGTGGTGTGAATTGGGCAAGTTGCTTCCTGTCTCACTAGCTCCGTTTTCTCAGTGATAAATTGTGAGGATAAGAAAACAACTTGCAGGCATGCTGCAACTCAGTGGCCCCTCATTGGACATGTTGAATATTAGTAACCTCTCATCCCATGTGTATTACTCCAGTCATATAAAGAATATTGTTTTTCGTTTTGGATGCTGATATTTAGGGGAAAATCTTGAAACACTAAAAATTATGTGGAGGAAGTGGGATGTTTGCCCTGGAGAAGAGCGGGAATGTAAAAACGATCTTCACATATTTGAAAGACAGTCAGTAGATAGGGCAAGTTATTTTCAAGGAGCTAAGTGGGAACTCTAGAGTTGTTGAAAGGTAGATTTAATTCGCTCCTTATTCTGTGCCATCTATGTACCAGATCTAGGGGGTGAACAGAACAGATCTCAAAATTAATATAAAATTAATACAAGAATGAATGTTTGTCTGGCTGGTGTGGTTCGGTGGTTGAGCATTGACATATGAACCAGGAGATCAGGGCACATGCCCAAATTGTGGGCTCAATCTCCAGTAGGGGGCGTGCAAAAGGCAGCCAGTCAAGTATTTTCTCTCATCATTGATGTTTCTCTCTCCCTCCCCCTTCCTCTCTGAATACCAGTTATTGATAATCAGCAATGCTATAGGCTGCCTGGTAAACTGTTACAGTTCTATTAATGAAAGTGGCCAAATGAAGGTTAGTGAGTGACCAAATATTACTGTTTAGAGGGAATTTCTGTACTGTGTGAAAAATCAAGTAATGACCTTTACTGCCATTTCCAACTTGTAATTATCCATAATTCTAAAAGTTTAAAACTGAATTTAACCTTTCATCATGTACAGTGAAATATCAAAGGCACATTCTTGAAAGATGTTGCTAAAATGGCTTGACATGCCGCTTGTTTATGGAGAGATTTTTACTTTGTGGAGCTCATAAGTCACCCCGTCTTTCACAGTGACCATGGACTGCTGATGAGAAAATTCATGACTTTAGGGTCTTGTGAAAAAATAATGGAAGAGCAATAGGGAATGGGGTTATAGAACTGAAGTAAGAACTTTTCAAGGGGGGTGGAATATTTAGAGGACTGTTTCCATTCTATCCACGTACATTTATTTTCACTGCATTTCCGTATCCGAGTGGGATTGGTTCCAGGACTTTCTGTGGATACCAAAATCCATGGATGCTCAAGTCCGTTATTATACAGCACAGACAATGTGTACAAATGTTTTAATTGGCTTTGGAGCTCAGCTTGTGGTTTTAACTGCCAATCAGCAATGTTTCTGTGGGAAATTTCGATCCAAAATCAGGTACCGTCTGTAATTCTAGATTGCTTCAATGATTGGGATTGCTTCACATGGGTATCCCTTTCCAACTTTCCTTCTCTTTCTCATAGGATCCTAACATTTTCAGAGAATCTTTTGAAAAGAACAAGTCTACTTCAATAAATGAAGGAGAATAAAGAAAATTCCAGCCCTTCAGTAACCTCAGCAAACCTGGACCACACAAAACCATGTTGGTACTGGGATAAGAAAGACTTGGCTCATACACCCTCTCAGCTAGAAGGACTTGACCCAGCCACTGAGGCCCGGTACCGCCGAGAGGGGGCTCGGTTCATCTTTGATGTGGGCACGCGTTTGGGACTGTATCCTTATCTCTTTGGAATCTGTTTTAGGCTTCCCACCGCCAACACTGAGAATTAAATTAGATACTATTGATAAAACATAGTAATATCTCCCAGCCAGTGTGGCTTAGTTGGTTGAGCATTGTCCCATGCACCAAGAGATCTCTGATTTGATTCCCGGGTTTCGGGCACAGTCGCCAGTAGGGGGCAGGAGGCAGCTGATAATGTTTCTCTCATTGATGTTTCTATCTCTCTCTCCCTTCCTCTCTCTCTCTAATCAATTTTTAAAAAGGAAATCTTGCCTTAAATAGACATATAGTAATATCTCTGTACTAAAATCTTTGTTAACTAATGTTATTTCTGATTAGCTTGGCTCTTTGGGAGGTTTCGGTTTCCTGTTTTTCATTTAACTGTGTAGACTTAGCCATTGAGCAAGTGGCCACCAGGAGGAAAACAGCCCCCGTGATCACAGTTGAAGGATGGGGAAGCCTGGCCTTGTTCATAGTGTAAACCCGCCTTGTGGGGGCGAATTCTGATACAGAGATTCCCATATACCCGCTTTGCTACTGACGCTGTTTACTTTACCACTGACTTACTTGCTATTGTTTTAGTTTTTCCACATTTAACTAAAAACAATAACAATTTCTTTTTTTCTTTTTTTTAAACCTGATTTTATTATTTGCTTAGCAAAAAAACAAACAAACAAAATAACAGTGTGGCAGAACACAGCTTCCCCTAACAAAGCAAAGAGCTGACTTTACATAGGTTTTTATCAAAATACAGCTGTTGCTGATTGCGTTTCCCTGAATTCTGGGTTCCATAGTTATTAACTTACAACTTGGGGTTGTCAGAATTCTAATTTCTTTCTCGAATTTGGAGGTTAGGAACTTTTTATTCACGCCTTGTTACTTTTCTAAAGACTGAGAAAAATCTTGCCTTCTGAAACACACATGGCCCAAAAGGTTCCGATAAAGGTCTGTGGACCTGAAATACTAGTATTTACCTCCTAGGTTGAGAGGATTATGTTCCCAGAAGAAAGCTAGCTGGCAGGTTTTATCATAAACACACACAGGACCTGCTACTTGGGATTCATTTAACAAATATTTACAAAGTGC